CAGACGTGGACAAGCACGGCCAAGGGTTTGGACATACAAAGCCTAGAGAAACGACAGGAGTAGACAGAAAACTAGTGTGTCTCATTTCCTAAATGTCATTTAACTGTTCACAAGGGTAACTGAAACCAAATAGTTTTAAGTTTAATGAATATTAAATATTGAAATTTATTATTTAAGGACAGATCATAAACACACTGGTTGCGGTGTTATTACAGAATTTTAGCTGATTCCGCATCAGTTTAAAGTCAATAAGGAATATTGGTGTTAATATGTGGCAGAATGAATTAAACCATGAATAAGCTGAATAAAATAATCTCTGTTTAGGCATCATCGTAGTTCTAGAGTCAATATATTTAGAGAAGAAAACAAAATAGATATCTGATGATCCAGGAAAGGCTGGATTGGGAATATCTGTGGTTTATGTGTCACCTATAGAACGTTTATCACTGTATGTATAAGTAAATGTGAAAGTGAAAATATGAGCAGTAAGTTATTTGGTGCCTTGTCTGAAAGTCACTTTTAACTTCAATGAGTGCAATAAATAAAATATATTAATCATGAATTAGGTTAATTTTTTCATCATCAAACAAAGTTTTTCTAGCATTAGCACCAATTATAAGACTCTAAACTTATAAAGACCAAGGTTGAGCTTTTCAGGCAAAACTGCTCTTAAAAAGATGTATTTGATGTTAGAGCTAAATCTGAAAATCAAGCAGCAGTTAGCGAAAATGGTTTAACTGGGGGATTTCTTCTTTATTTTTAAAATGGATAATGTTTTTAAGTCATCAACTGAATTATGCTAACTTGAGTTCAGACATTTCTTTTGAACAGCAACTGGAGACCATGTTGATTGAAATACTTTCTGTATTATTTTCTAGTAACATGATCATGAGGAAGCCCTTCCCTTGGACATATGTTTGAGTTTTTTTCTAACTGGACAAGGTCTTACATAAAAGAAAATCATAGCGCAAAAATAAATTACACTAAGTTTGCCAAAAAAGATGAAAACAATATCAGGTCATTTATTCATATTTCAAAGTGTACTTTTAGTTGAGGTGATATTTCTATAGAAAGCTGTACATCTTAAACAGGAAGTTGTGGTTGCTGTGACAGCAGAGGAGCAGCTAACATTCAGGCAATTATTCAGCCTGTGGGCAGAATGACAATCACTGTTTTACGTGTTGTTGTTGGTAAGAGCTTCAAAGAAATATCCTCTCTATCGTAAAGAACTACTAAATTATGTCTCACTTTTTTTAATTATTTAAATCCTGTTATCTGAGCACATTTCCTTGTAGATTTCAGCTTTCCTAATGAGAAATATGTAGTAGGAAAACATCCAAGCCTTTTATTTAGACTATTATTCATTTTTTAATGCAAGAAAAACATGCTGTCTGTAATGCGGTCCACATCACTGTGCTTCCTAATACTACAGTGGCAGAAGAAAAGTAGTTTAATTTTCTTTGTAAAAGATATTGATATAGTCACAGGAATGAAATGAAAGTTAAATGAAGTGAAAGATAATTTAAACAGTTTCGCTTTTCCATAGTAATAATTCTTGTCCCAAAAGGTCAGTTTGTCCCTCCAGCAGCAGTCCATCCAATTCAAATCCACTTTGTGCTTTCAATTGCTTTCTAAATTCATATCATACCCACGTAGTTAGATCATTGCATGTCTATATCTACACATGGTTTTAGTTAAGTTATGGACATACAACCCTATATTGCCAAACGTTTTCTCTCACCTGCCTTGACTCACATATGAGCTTAAGTGACACCCCATTCCTAATCCAAAGGGGTTCAATATGATAGCGGTCTTACCCTTACACCCTTGCTCCACAGCAACCGTTGTCAACACTGTGGACTTTGTGAACCAAAGAATTGACACATATGAGTTATTTTAGATGATCCTCAGGCCAATATACACTATCAATTTTCAATGTGTAGCGATTGACTCAGCAGAAAGTAGGTGATCTCGTCTCACTGTATACTTCAGCATCTACTGACCTCAATTTATGGTGGCCTACCGCTTTGTGGCTGCGTCTCTGCCATTCCTAAACATTTTCCATTTTCTTATGATACAGCAGACAGTTGACTGTGGAATATTTAGTGAGGAAATTTCCAGACTGCATTTATTGCTCATGTGGCATCCTATCACAGTTCCAGGCTGTAATTTACTGAGCTCCTGAGAGTGACTCATTCTTTTATCTATCTATCTATTTTTATAACAGTCTCAATGGCTAGGGGCTGGATTTTATCCAACTGTGGCCATGGAAGTGTTTGGAACACCTGACTCCGTAATTTGGTTAAGTGAGCAAATATTTCTGGGTATATAGTATATATGCAATTATTTCTCAGGCACTATGCTCATGGATTATCTTTTTCATTTGACCTGAAAACAAGGTAACTGCAGAGGTAACTGTCAACATCAGCTGTCTTTAATAATCTCACCTTCTATATTACACAGGCTTATTCAGCTTCAGTTTTGAAGTCTTTTTAAACGATCCTTTGGTGTTTAATCTGGTGTGAGCTTTATCTAGAATTGTGTTCCTCTGTTTGAATTCTCCCCTGTTGTTTTTATTTTTACTAAATATTCTCCTTCAGCATTTGAAAAACAACCTGTTGATAACAAAATAGCTTTTTAAATAAATTTAAATTTGACTGTTACATCGCCCCCTGTTGACAGCAGTACGTATCACTGTTTTTAGTCAATCAGTTGTTGATGATTAGAAGTGACCTGCTGGTACTGAAGTGTATGACATGCCTGGAAGAAGGGATTTAAATGTTAACTATGTAGAGGCATGTTGAAGATACAACGGACAAGCTGCTAGTGATATCAGTGGCCAAGCATGCGTTATTTGCAGATAAGGGGCCACAAATTAGATTAGATTAGATTAGATGAGCTTTATTGATCTCACAGCGGAGAAATTCACTCGTCACATATTGACTTAGTAATAACAGAAGGTGCAAACAAGGAGGAAAAAAGGTGCATTAAGAATAAACAATATATATACAGTATATCAAGATAAATAAGGATTAGGGTGCAAGTGTACAATTTCCCAAGGGCTGCACTTTGGACACCCATGCATTTAAGTGTGTAAAAATATCATATATCTTTCAAAATATCAGTAAGTTCACACAAAATTCTGATGCACAATACATTGCCCATTACAGATCAGAATATCAGGATAAAGGTGCTGCTGAAGATCCTGAGTCATCCAGGTCAGAGCCATAAAAAAAAAGGTAATAAACAAACCACTGGACTTTGTTTTTCAGGTTTGAAGATGTTTCGCTTCCCATCCAGAAAGCTTTCTCAATTCAAAAGGTCTGAAGTAGTATTTAATTATGTCTCGCCGTTATACTCTGCTGTGTGTCGACAAGATTAAATGCACAAACATCGCCATACCATAAGTTGCTGAAATCTCTGAAAAACTCAAGAGGATTTTCTCCAAACACAAAATAACAGTACATTTCAAACCAAACAAGAACCTTAAACAGAGACTAGGGCAACCTAAAGACAAACCCCCCAAACCAAATATGATTGGAGTGGTGTATTTAGTTTAATGTAGTGAGGAATGCTCTGATCTTTATATTGGAGAAAGCAAACAACCTCCCCACAGATGCATGGCCCAACACAGAAAAGCGGCCTCCTCTGGAAAAGACTCTGCTGTACATCTACACCTTATTGACAGAGGACATTCTTTTGAGGACCAGAATCTTCACATTTTGGACAAAGAGGACAGGTGGTTTTAAAGGGATGTAAAGGAAGCCATTTACGTTAAGAGAGAAAAAACAAACTTAAACAGAGGAGGAGGACTCAGATTCCAGCTCTTGAAAACCTATAACGCTGCGTTAGAGTTGATTCCTTCCTACTATCATCTAAATCCTCATCGCCATTTAGGCAACCAAAACATCTCTCCTGGTCAGCCAGGCCAACAATGACCCTAAAGATTTCCTTTTCAGAGGCATGGACCAGGATCGGGTACTGCAGTCCAATAACAACCTCAACGACTCCCTATTAAAAAGTGGTGGACCTGTTTTTGGTTGGCTGTTTTCTAAGCCCTTTGGCTTTTGTTGGGCTACTCTAAAAAGCCTGGAGCTCAACACTACTTCAGACATTTTGAATTGAGAAAGCTTTTTGGATGGCAAGCAAAACGTCTTCAAACTTGGAAAACAGGATCCAGTGGTTTGTTTTGAACAATTTTTTTAATAAGGATAAAGGGGAATACAGAACAGTTTTAATGTCTGACAGCAGTTCTAACCATTAGTGACGACTGAGTTATTCCAACAGAAAAAACACGAGTTGAAAAAACTATACGATTAAATTGCACGTATTTTTCAGTTAAGAGCTTTTTGTATTTTTACTTTAGTGATTATGTTTTGCATATAAAATATCTCAGAGGTAAAACATATTTATATCTTTAAATTTCTAAAGCATCCATAAAATACTTTCTGAAATATTTATCTTTAAACGTTGTCCCCCATCTGATCCTCTCTGTTCGCTCCTTCATCTATCTACAGAAACAAGCACCCAGACTTCTACAGGAGGTCAGACAATTAAAACCTGATAATTTCTGGCTTTATCTTTAATGGCAAACCTCGATCAGAGTTTTAAACAAACA